ATGGTCTCCGTAGAATGTTTCTGGAGAAACGTGATTACGAATGGGTCCTTGTCCGTATCGATCAATCGAAAATAGAAGTGCCCTTTGTCCTAAGAGATCGACAAGTACGGGATGAAAGAGCGATGGAAATATAGAAATGGCTCGCACATCTACGGGTGACACAAAGTCTGGCGTTTGTCAGTCGCATGCCCGAATGGCCACAGAACGCCAATAAGCGTTGAAGCCCTTCGTATTTTTATAAATGTCTATTAATCAATATTATCACCGCACGCACTGAGAACGTCTTGCGCACTCGTAAACGCGTCGAAGTTCATCGGCGAAGCCCGAAGCCTCGAGTTAACGTCATGCATATAGCTTGTCAAAGGTGTGCAGCGGTCCTAAACCAACAAAGTTCATCATCAATTCGCGGCAGCGCGCGAAACAAACGGCGGCAAGACAATGCCGAGGAATGGAGAATCAAGAAAAGCTAGCGAGAGTCCGAGGGACACACGCAATTTCCAAAATAAACGAGGACGCGGCGACGCTCTCTCGGCAAATAATCATCTCTCGCGTGCTTTTAATTAAGCTGTCCTTTCTTGGCGGAGAGCCATTTGTTTGAGGAAATTACCGGGGCACCTTTTTCACTTCTCTCTTACCGAAAAATCGACCGGACTACGTATGTAAATGACGATTATCTCGTTTGGGAGAGCGATAAGAGACGCGTGGAGGCGTCGAGAAGACAGATAAGCAGACAGACAAGTGTTGTCCGAGGACTGCGTCGTCTTGCGGGAGGCGTGCCTCTCTCTTCGTTGTCGGCGTGCTCTTGCTTTATTTATGCGAATCACAGGCTTTGTAATCAGCGACGGCGACACTGACCTTCATTATCGCAGAAACAAAGTTACATCGGAGTCTAAAGTAATTCTAATTTAACTCTCGTACGCACGCGAGTGCAATCGTATAGCACGACCATTATTACACGCATAAGTCCTGGAATTTACGAGGCGCGCAGTAAACAGCTTCGCACGTTTAATTAGTCTGAAAGCATTGTGAAAAGTTGTACGCGCACACGAGTGGGCGTGTGTGCGCGCGCGCGCGTACGCTGTTTTACAAATTGATCATGACTGTTGTTCCAGGTGTCGCTCGAGATTTCGTTTTTCTTTTTTTTTTCAACTCGGCGCGAAATGATTGTTTCAGGTGTGCATTGTCTCGTGAGAAGGGGGAGCGATAGCGTTATGTATCTTTATTCTTTCATGACTGATGATGATGATGAATGTTGCGAAATTCTCGCACATGTGTTCGGTTTTTATATGGAAAACGTATGAGATGCTGTTTAATGAGGAGAGTGTATTTGTGTATTTGATCTGTTGGAAGTCATTTTTTTATTGTGTGTTTCCCAATTTCTTAAAATATTCGCTCAAATTATAAAATACTATTTTGAATTTCATTCATAAACTCGTTATGAAAGACTCCCCATTCGTCTCATCAATATCCGAACGTCGTAATCCACATATCAGTTCGGTGAAAAATCAAATCGAATCAACTTTGCAGTGCCGGGGCAACTTACGAATTTCTTAATCGATATATAACTCCTTGACTTGCATATAGTACCAGTCTCGGTATTCCCCAACGGCGGCGCGGGGTTTGGTTGCATTATTGAATCTCAGGAAATCTCTCACGGCTATGTACGCGCGTGCAAATCCAATTTGGACTGTGTTCTCCCTTCCCGCAGCTGAGGAAACTGATACTGTATCTTAAGCTGCCTCTGGCGCCGCTCGAGTGAGAGAGAGAGAGAGAGAGAGAGAGAGAGCACGATTAGCTTTCATTATTCAAAGGCGCGACTAACTTCGTCAACTGTGAAAGCTTGTTGCTCCTGGATATGGTTACGATTTAAAAATATTTTTCTTTCTCTTCAATTGAAAATGCTGATTTGTCGAAGACGACATTTCCAATTGGTAGAGTTACCAAAATTTCGTTTAAGGTTTTATTGGCAGAATTCAGTTTAAGATGAATTTTCATCAATTTTGTTGTGAATTTTATCTTTTACCATTGTAGTCATCAGTCGAAATGTTTTTGAAAGCCATTCTATTCGAATTGACGTCTCTCAAAAAAACACAATGACATTTTTTTAAAATATTTGTAAATTGATATCGAGGTCTGGTAAGTTTCCAAAAAGCAATAGGTTACTCTAATATTGCCACAGCATAGTAACATCTGTTGTTCATCGTGTCAAATATCGCGTAAGACGCTATATGTATATTCACAAACGCGTCTATTTATCTTATTACAAAAACTTTTGCCCTACCCACGGCATCGAGCGAATTCGTAATGTAAAATCGGATTAAAACTCGCGGGTAAAAAAAGCCCTCGGTGAAAGAAAAACAAGAGAGAAAGAGAGCGATGCACGCGCAAACCCGAGAAAAGGAGAATGTATATATATGTATATATATCCGTGCGATTTTTATGTTTCAACCAGCAGCCACCGCCGAGCGGCACATGCTTGAAATTTTTTTCAATTAGGTAA